TTGGGACTAAATTGGCCCACTTTCTAGTATATAAAAGTATACTTTTAAGTATACTTTAAGTATAACAGTAGTAAACTTTGAGTACACAACTAGTTTACATCAAAATCTTTAGTTTGTACTGCAACTATAGATATACTGATAGTTTACTAATTAAATACTTGTAGTAGCATTTTTAGTACACTTTGAAGTATAGTCTCAGTAAACTACTCGTTTAGTAGTTTTATACTGCAAGTATACTCATAAGTTTTCTTTAAGTGAATTTTACATCATACTTTAAGTATACTACTGTCCCTATTTAGGTATTAATTTGTATATATTTTGTTACATGAATATCTGAACATACAAAACATCAAAAGAACAGGGTATCTGCTTGTAAACAAAAACATTGTATTCTAGCTTCATGCATTCTTTTTTTAAACACTTGAATGTGGATAAGTTTCATAAATAAAAAAATAAAGAAATAAACAACATTTTGAACAAAAAGCTGAAAAAAAGACTATGAATTGGATTCAGAATGATAATCAAAACGTAGATAGAGTCGATCAACACCCCAAAGCTTGACAGTCATTATTATATCTTCATTGGTCGACATTTTATTCCACAACGTTACACAGTTTTGATGCTGTTTTATGTCTGATGATCGCGTTAGAATACATGTGGAAGCGTCTGTTGTTTCGGTTTCTTCTTCACTTGTGTTTTTTAGAAATTCTGTACAGAAGATGTGTACTAGCACCCCCTACAGTATAACAATGAAAACACGGATTATAGGAGCACAATTATAGCTAAAGTATATTTAGACTTTTTCTGAGTGTAAGTCAAGTATACTTAAATGTCATTTTAAGTATATTTCTGAGAAGTACATAAAGCCCATTTCTGAGAAGTACATAAAAAGTAGACTAAAAGTATACTTTCCTATTTTTAGTTTAAAAGAAGTATACTAATAGCACACTTGAATAAACTTATTTTTCGTAAGGGTAGGCGGTCTCAATTTGTGTTTAAAATTAACTGGGGGGAAAATAAATAATAATACTAAAAATAGATGATAATAATAATTACGTCAGCTAATATTTCTCATGGTAAGTTAAAGTTTTGTCTTAAAAACAAGCAAAAGATACATTTTGTTGAACATTTGTTGTCATCCTATGATAGCTGTCACAAAGGAACTTGAAATTAGACACATTATTATAGGCTTTTCAGCAAAAGCATTTTTTTTCTTCAGCAAACATCATTTAAAACACAATACTTGAATATTATATTAATATGATTTCATTTTAATTAATATACATTTCAAACATTTCAAACATATGAGAACTTGCGCTAACCTGGCATGGGGCCTATTATGAACCTTTTAATTATGAACATTTATAACCTTCCAGTTTAAATCTGAATTTCACTGTACAGTGATAATAAATAGGAAAACAAAGTATGCCAGACTAACTAATAATAATAAATTCATTGGTGATTCACACCTCGGAGCCCACCGAGGGCGGGAAACTGGACGAGACCCTCAGTAAGCTCAGAGAAGGAGTCAAGAGAGAGATGGTGGATGTCCTCCGAGCCAATGTGGAAGAATTGATGCAAGAGCACCAGCAAGCATGGGTGGATCTCTTCATATCTGGCAAGTCGACTGAGCACAGTCTGACATAATTGCTATTCACTTAAAAATATATATCAGTATATACATTTCAGGTTCATTGTATGGACCTCAAAAAATTTACTTTGTACAAAAATGAAAATCGTCATAATTTACTGAACCTCCACTTGTTCCAAACCTGTATGAGTTTCTTTCTTCTGTTGAACACAAAAGTAGATATTTTGAAGAATGCTGGTAGCCACTGACTTAAATAATATGGAAAAGAAAAAATACTAATACTGTGGAAGTCAATGGTTACCAACATTTTTCAAAATATCTACTTTTGTGTTCAACAGAAGAGAGAAACTTATACAGGTTTGGACTTTTTATTTTTGGATGAGCTATCCCTTTAATAAATCTTAGGGGTCGTATCAAGACAAATAATTTTTTTTCTTAAGCTTAGAAGTGTTCAGTGTATTATGAAGACAAACAGTGCATTTTAATTTGAACTCAAAACCCCCCCTGGAAAAAAAAGTAAAGAAAAGTATTAAAAATTTTGCTAATTTAAGGCCGGTTGCATAAACTAGTCTTAAAAGGTAGTCATCTAATTTATTTTTCTTTAAGAGTCAAAATTTTTACAATTTCGGTTACATATAATTAGGTTAGTCTAAGTTGAATCCAAAATATAAGACTGGTTACCCCTTAGTTAACTGCTAGCTGGTAAAACTAATTCTTAAGACATTGTCTTAATATAGGCTAAGTTTATTCAGTTTGCCCCCTGGATCCACAGACGGCGCTTAGATTAAACCAGGATTAGGCCATAGTTCAATTAGGACGTTTTTATTAACGTACCTTAGGAAGAAAAAAACTCATTACTGGTGTGCATCTTAAGACAAAACAATGGCACTGATATATCTTAAGATCAGTCAGTGCAAATTTCTTTGTTGAAACGGCTCAGAAATGCATTTTAGTCTTAAGCCTTGTCTGTGAAACCGGGGGTACGAAACTAGAAACTGCCTCTCACCATTTAGAAACTGCCACTAGCCAAATATGAGTATTGTGTGTCAGGTAAATGGGCTTCTCTACCAGCCACTGCACTCCAAAAGGAGGTTTTTGCAGGGATGCCATAGGTCGCCCAAACTCGGTTGTAAACATCTAAAAAACCTTTTTTCGCTATAGAGAACCTTTTATGCAATGGAAAGATTCCATGGATGTTAAAGGTTCTTCATAGGAGAAAAATAAAGAAGCTGTATCTTTAAGAGTGTGTGGCCAGCAGCCTGTCTCAGATTGACCTTTGACAGTAAACGCTGCTGATTAGAAACAACAAGTTTCAAGAGGTCTGAGATGCTTCATTAAGCTTCTTTTTGACCCGTCGCTCAAATGCGACAGTAAGCGCTCTTCATACTTGCACAAATATGTGAGCTGATTTTTGTTTTATATGCCAACTCTCCATGTGAATGCCCACACAGAGCTATTGTTTACAAAAAGTCCTTCATATTTATTGACCGCAAAGTTTTGTCATATTCTACATCTCTTCTACAGTTCTCTTTTGGCATTCTTTATTTCTTTTAGTTTTGTCAAAAACAAGTAGGTCAGGCGACTAGGCCTGTCGCTATAATCGATATATGGACTTATTGCGCAATTTATGTACATGACCTCAATAATTTTTGGTGACGCAATATATCGCCCATTATATTTACTTAAAAATTAATGTCACCATGTTTTGTACATTCCACTTGCGCCTGTGTCTTTTGCAGCTTCTCGTACATAGTGAAAAGATGCTTCTACAAAAAAAGGTTTCATCTGCAGATATGGCCTTGTTTGGGGATCTGTGCCTTTGTGCATACGGACATCTGACTGCTGAGTAGTGATTGTGTTTTTCAGCAATAGTGTGCACCCTTCATTTACAGAGAAAAGAAGGTCCGGGAAAAATCTGCAGATGGAAAAAATCTCCATACAAGTTCTTTGTGCATTTTCCTTTTTTTCTAATTGTTACTTTGCACTTTTTGTTAGAAAATGTTTATTTAATATTTATTCAGGTTTTTTAAGGTATCTAATATTTTGATACTTAATTTGCATGATCTAAATATTCTTAAAAATTAAAAGTTTGTTGTCATTTGAAGTGTGTAGGCCTTCTTGCATTATTATGCTGTTACATTATGACTATATATTCAGTGCCATAAAATGGTCTTTAAAATGACTAATATCGCTTATCGCAATTATTTCTGGGGCAATATTTCGCACAACAAAAAGTTGTTATCGTGACAGGCCTACAGGCGACCTAGCACAGCAACTTTAAAATGAAATTTGAGTGAACTTACTGTACAAGGCCAGGGACAGCTTACATGTCAAGACAAATCTGGAAAAAATACTATACCACTTACCACAATAGCTGTTTGTTTTCCTTTAAGGACAGTTTTTTGGGATGTATTTTATCTTGTGAACACAATCAGACTCCCTTATATTTAATATGTTCAAGTTTTACAGCTTAAAATAATGTTTAGTTCATGAGGATTTGATCTGAAATGTGTCTATTTACAAGGCCAGAGACCGTGTAAAAGCAAAGAGAAAAGTTATTTTGAATTCAGTTTCATGTTGTTAGAAAAACACAGAGATAACGCCTACAGTATAATGATTTAATGCTTTGTGCATTCGTTCAGTTGCACATATACAAGTTGCATGGGACAGTGCAAATAATATAAGCAAACCTGCAGTCCAAGGGTCTGTGCTGTTGCTCATTTCACATGTGAGCAGGGGTGTAAAATACTTTTAGACATTTTTTTTTTTATAATTTTACTGGATTAGTGTACTTTAGTATTATTTTTGGGGATTTGTACTTTACTCAAGTGCAATTTAAACTGACCATTGTATTTTCACTTGATTACATTTCTGAAGAAAAAACTTTTTACTCCTTACAATTTTATTTGAACTGGAAAAGTACTCGTTACATTTTTTGCATTTTCTACTTTGTCGTGCAAAATGACGTGCAAGAACGAATGATGTTTGTCTTCACGCATCAAACACACACGTTTCATCTTCAGTTGTAATCAGGAAATTTTTTTAAAGATATATTTATGGGCTTTTTGGACCGTAGAGAGCAGACAGGAAAACATTGGGTGAAGAGAGGGGGTCGGCAAAGGACGGGATTCGAACTCGGGTCGCCGCAAGCACAGTTGCGCTAGGCTATATGTCTAACCATGCTATCAGTGCCGACATCAGGAAAATTTCTGGCTTCAAAATTTCCCCATTAAATCTTAGAAAGCATATTGAGGTAGCAAAGCTGCTTTTCCCATAAAAGTCTATTGATTATTTGTGTTTGTTTGGATATAGCCATTAACTGTCTGTGTAGTATATTGGCTGAATGCACAACATTTACTCACCCTGAAGTATTTTCCTTACACACGCCCATCGTTTCGCTTCAGAAGACACTGATTCATTAACAGGGGTTGTATGGGTTACCGTCGTGTTCATTTGTATAGTTTTTAAGGTGGCATCTTGGGACGTCCTGTACACCTGCATTATATTCTTACAGATGGATTATACTTTCTAAAAATCTTTGTGTTAATTTGAAGTAGAAGAGTCATATGTCTGACAAAACATTTTGCATTGAGAAGATGATTCAATATGATGAAACGATTTTTTTTTTTTGAGTACAATTTAAAGTTGTACTTTTAAATTTCACCCAAGCCAAGATATTGCTTTGGCCAAGAAGATACTTTTAATTGAGTAAAAATTTTCACTAAGTTTCTGTGCTTTCGCCTAAAGGGTTAGTTCACCCAAAAATGAAAATTCTGTCATTAATTACTCACCCTCATGTCGTTTCAAACACGTAAGACCTTCGTTCATCTTCAGAACACAAATTAAGATATTTTTGATGGAATCTGAGAGCTTTCTGCAGCGCAACTGAAATGTTCCCAAGTCCAGAAACGTAGCAAGGAGATCTGTAAAATAATCCATGTGACATCAGTGGTTCAACCGTAAGTTTACGAAGCTACGAGAATACTTTTTGTGCGCAAAAGAAAAAAAAAAAAGATTCGTTTTGACAATTCGTCACCGTAGCGCCATTTTGGAGAATATCCGTTGGACGTAAACAGTGTATGCTGTCACTGTCACACGGATACGCTGCTTTCGTTCAGATCAAATCACAACAAGGTAGGAAACAGATCCGGCGTGACGCAGCTGACACAGAATAGCATACGCTGTTTACATCCAGCTGATATTCTCCAAAATGGCGCTGTTGAATAAAGTCGTTTTTTTTTCTTTTGCGCACAAAAAGTATTCTCGTAGCTTCATAAAATTACGCTTGAACCCCTGATGTCACATGGATTATTTTAACGATATCCTTGCTATGTCTCTGGACTTGGGAACATTTCAGTTGTGTTGCTGTCTATGGGAGGGTCAGAAAGCTCTCAGATTCCATCAAAAATATCTTAAATTGTGTTCCGAAGATGAACGAAGGTCTTACGGGTTTGAAATGACATGAGGGTGAGTAATTAATGACAGAACTTTCATTTTTGGGTGAACTAACCCTTTAAGAATAATATTTGAGTACTTTTTACAGAGGTGTATTTTAGAAATAAGAAGATTTAAAAGTAGAGCAGCAAATAATATGTGGTTTAATTTTAAAAATGTTGCCAAAAATAAATAAGTAAATAAATAAAGACTATTTTTTGCACAAATATATATATAAAAAAAAATGTTGGTGTACTTCAGGGAAAATGTAAGTATGATATGACTCCTGTAATGTGTTCACTTGGTTTAAGAATCTAAAAGGAAATGTTTCATAGTTTTTTTGCTGCTTTACAGGTGTGGAAATCAGAAAGATCACAGACGCCCATACTCCGTCCAGTCGCACAGTCAACAACACGCTGTACTACATTCTGTCGACCTCCACAGCGCCCCTCCTGGATCAGAGTCTGACCGCAGAAGAGCACGAACGCCTGGAGTCCAGTCTGAACTACGCCGACCACTGCTTCAGCGGCCACGCCACCATGCACGCCGAGAACCTGTGGCCGGAGCGCCTGACCAACGTGGCTCAGATCCTGCAACTGGTGAATCTCTGGAACCTGACCTTCCAGAAAAGAGGATGCAAGGTCCTCGTGGCGGCAGGCACTCACGGTATGATGCAAGGCATGGTCCTGAGTTTCGGCGGTCTGCAGTTCACCGAAAACCACCTTCAGTTCCAGGCCGACCCGGATGTTCTTCACAACAGCTACTCTTTGCGGGGCATCCATTACAATAAAGACCTTATCAACCTGGCCGTGCTGCAGGACGCCGAGGGTAAGCCCTTCCTGCATGTGTCCGTCAAGCCTCAGGAGAAACCCGTGAAGCTGTACGCCTGCGAGGCCGGCTGCATGAACGAGCCTGTGGAGCTGACCTCGGAGCTGCGAGGCCACACGTTTCCGGTGATGGTGACCCAGCCCATCACGCCTCTGCTGTACATCTCCACTGATCTCACTCACCTGCAAGACCTGAGACACACGATGCACGTCAAGGCCATATTGGCTCACGAGGACCACATGGCCAAGCAGTACCCAGGCCTGCCCTTCCTTTTCTGGTTCAGTGTGGCGTCCCTCATCACGCTTTTCCACCTCTTCCTCTTCAAACTCATCTACAATGAATACTGCGGGCCGGGAGCCAAGCCGCTCTTCAGGAGCAAGGTATAGCCGAAGACACTTGAAGACGAGCCGTTTTTGGGGGTGGGAACTGTGGTGTGTGTGAATCTCCTCTCCTTTTTTCTTCTTGCTATCATTCTGCACAACTCTCAAATCCTGCCTTGCAAGATATTTTTACCTCTTGAAACTAATTGATAATAATTGGTTTGGGTAACCCATCAAACTGCTGTAATTGGAGGCTCTGGTGTGCTGGAAATAGTTGTCTGCAATCTTCAGTTTGGGTGTTCTCTCTCTATGAACCTCTTGATGAACTGAAAGCACCAGTGCTCTAAAGACACTATTCAGTAAGCGCCATTGTTTTTCTCGCAATCTGACACAATTAGAACTGATTTGTGTCTAAAAACGTAAGAAAACATATTTATTTTGTTTTATATGAAATACTATTCCGCTTTGCAGAATAACCATTTGCTAATTACGTTTGAAGGACAGTTTTTTTTTATGTAATTTATCTCGTGACTTTCAGCAGACTTTCCCATCTTTTATATGTAGTTTTACAGCTCAAGAAAGTCTGTCTAGAGTATTTAATTCAGTTTTTTGATGGGATGATAGCAGGTGAGGAGTCAAATTTTATTTGTTCTGAAATTCGTGTGTGAACTTATTATCACTGGTGCCTTCAAGTCTTTCTTCTTCCAAGTTGGTTTAAGGGGTTTTGTTTCTCTGAAATTTGCTGTCTGCAAAGTCTTTTTTGTTCGTTTACAATCTGGGGGTCTTACGCAGGGGTCTGAAGTTTGAAGATCTTGTTGTTGGTTTGGTGAGGTGAAAGTTGAATTTAAATTTGAACCCAAATACATCGTTTTTTTTCACTGATCACATTCATCCACCATACATTAATTTATGTCAGTAGGGTAATCTCAATACTGATGGTGGTTTTGGTGACATTTTTGATAGCAGTTAACATAAACTTCAAACATAAGGTAAGCAGATTTGAATAAACTTCACAAAACCTATCAAGAACGAGTTTGTTTTGCCACAAAATCACAAGAAGAAAATTACATTTTGCATTAAAATTAAGCCTTTTTAATACAGACCATTACACTCTAAAAAAATGCTGGGTGAAATACAATCCAGTGCTGGGTAAAATAGGGACAGACCCAGCAATTGGGCGGTTTTGACCCAGCGGTTGGGTTAAATGTTTAACCCAACCTTCTGGGTAGTAACCCAACCGCTGGGTCAAAACAACCCAATTGCTGGGTTTGTCCCTATTTTACCCAGCACTGGGTTTTATTTCACCCAGCATTTTTAAAGAGTGTAGGATTAACATTTACAATAAAACTAATTGTATTAGAAATAATTACTATTATTACAATTGTTATGCCTATACTATGCTGATACATTTTTTTTTTTTTTTTAGAAAATCATATTGCAGTATTTTTTTTCTGTAATGCAGTAAAAGATATACAGCACTGAGCAACTAATTAGAATCACAACTGACAATAATAGGAATTCCAAAACGATGCTTCAAAATTGCAAAAAGGCTTCATTTCTTTTTATAAAAATAAATGTCCCCATGCAGACATTTTTTCCTAAGATTCACAAAGTCTAAACAGATTTAGGTGTTGATATGTGAAAGGATGAATGAATCACGTCAGTTCACTGTTTAGAGCACAAAAAGAGATGGGAGAGTTGAGAAGGCACTACTTGCTTATTAAACATGTTTCACTCTTATAATGTTTAAGTAGGCAAATACAGTTTCACATGGTCTGATGTGTAGTTCATATCACTGCTGCATATGCACTGCTATCATACACCCTTAGGTGTACTCCGTTAGATCTCTGCCAACATTTACACAAGCTCACAGAAAAAGCTCTTTTTCCGTTTCTTATTTACTTGTTGTTAATGTGAAGATCCTGCATTGTTTGCCATGTGCGTCTCAAAGTTTCTTCTCATGTTGGAGTGATCTTTTGCATTCGTTAGAATTCTGCTGTTTTTATTAAGTTAACCAATCAAGAGTTAGACAAAGTTCTGTTATAGTGACATTCATTCACATTGATTTTTAAGATTTCCTAAATCTGGGGTCACAGAGTAAAACCTGTCGAGTAGCATTGCTCCTTAGTGATGTGAAATGAGTACATCATCCGAGTTGCCTTAAAATGTGTTTCTAAGGCATCTTTACTCTGCCAAGTTAAGGCTGTTCTGTGCCTGCTTAAAAAAATGTGTAAAGGTGCAATGCCCTGCAATTAAGCTTGCTCTGATCCAACTCGGCTCTAGTATCCAAGCATGCAGTTGTAAAAGCTGTGGAAATGCATTTATGCCACCTCTGAGCAGCATTAAACAGTCTGTGTTAAGACACCTAAATGCCACTTCAGAAGCACTTCTGTGCCACCTTCGCAGTGTAAATGTGTCACTTGTGTGTGTAACATGCTGAAGATACATTGCTTAAAAGTATATATTTTTTTATTAGTGGGCGCAATAAATGACATGTTTTGGGTTTAAAAAGGCAACTCAAATGAGTAAAATCATTTCCCAAAGAGAGTACGTGTAAACATTTGACTTTTTGTCATTTTTGATTGAACTTAGTCATAGCTAGATTTCACACTGGCGTCAATCCTAATGCCTGTGCTCAGTTTATTTGTCTATATTTTACTATTAGCTCAGACTCATACTTAGGGCAAATAAGTAAACCGATGCACTGGATGAAGTGTAAAATATGAGTGCTAAATGCTATGAAATAATAGTAAATCCATTCAAATTTCCATTCAAATCCACAAAATGTTCACAAAGAAAGCATAACACATCTTTATTTTTTCTACCATAAATATGCTTATTCACCCTCTATTTGTTATTTCAACAGGATGATGTTTCTGTCTGAAGCCTAATCCAGTGTGCAGAAACATTAAATATGGCTCTATCTCTGGATGTCCTCTCGGGATTGATTTTAATCACTGGAGACGTACTGATGTATTCAAGACATGTTTTCCATTATTGCTGTGTGAATTTAATTATGAACATGATCTTATTTCTGTCGAGGATTATGTAAGTTGTTAAGGTTAAAATATGAAGACTATTTAAAGGTGCCCAGTCATGTGCAAATTAGTGATAAAATATCAATAATTATGAAGGATTCAAACAAGACCTTTATTAATGTATTATTCTAGCTTATAAACAAGCACAATAATAAAATCTTAATGGAAACCAAATCAAATATGCAGCTCCTAAACACTGATTTTATGTGAATGAAGAAACACATCTTATAAAATCGCAATGAAATGGAAGTAGCGACAGAGCTTTTCTTCTGTATTGTGATGAACATCTGAGTGTAACAGATTATTAAAAAACAATGTAAGGCATGGATTGGTGATTGGGGATAGATGAGTGGAGAAGTCGGGCGTATGGCACCTTATTTTCACTGTAATAATGAGTTGTGACGTTTTGATTATGAGGTCGAAAAAAATCAGATACATGGATGAAAATGGGCTAAATGAATCTACGTCGGTAGTAGAAGTACTGACCTTTATTAAAACAGCTGGGAATATTGTATGTATTTATTTGAAAAATCAGCATTGAACATCACAGATTCAAGTTTGTTTACTGTAGGCTTAATCACATGGAATATAGAATGCTATGCTGATGACACTCAACTCTACCTCTCATTCCATCCTGATGATCCGACCATAGCTGCTCGCATCTCAGCATGTCTGTCACCTTGGACCATCACCTTCAACTCAGCCTTGCCAAGACAGAACTGCTTGTGGTTCCAGCAAACCCATCAGTTCATCACAATTTCACCATCCAGTTAGGCACATCAACCATAACTCCTTCAAAAACAGCTAGAAACCTTGGAGTTATGATTGATGATCAGCTGACTTTCTCAGACCACATTCCTAAAACTGCCCGGTGCTGCAGATTTGCTTTATTCAACATCAAGAAGATCAGGCCCTTTCTTTCGGAGCAGGCTTCACAACTCCTTGTTCAAGCTCTTGTCTATCCAGGCTGGACTATTGCAATGCTCTCTTGGCAGGTCTTCCAGCCAGTTCTATCAAACTTTTACAATTAATCCAGAATGCGGCAGCAAGATTAATCTTTAATGAGGCAAAAAGAATGCACGTCACATTTTGCACGTTCATCGATTTGTACTGGCTACCAATAGCTGCTCGCATAAAATTCAAGGCATTAATGTTTGCCTACAAAACCACCACTGGCTCTGCACCCCTTTACCTAAATTCATTACTTTAGACTTATGTGCCCTCTAGAAGCTTGCGTTCTGCAAGTGAACGTCGCTTTATTGTTCATCCCAAAGAAGCACAAAATCACTTTCACAGACTTTTACATTAACTGTTCCCTCCTGGTGGAATGACCTGCCCAACTCAATCTGAGCAGAAAAACACATCTCTTCCATCTTTATTTGACCCTCTAACTCTAGAACTCTCTATTCTAATTCTATTCTTTAAAAAAAAAAGTCCCTTTTAGACTTGCACTCTATTCATTTACCAACTGCTTGTTTTCTTGAGGGAAAAAAAGCTAACACTAGCTTCTCTAATCTTTTTATATTCTGTCTGTTTGTTTTCTTTTTATTTATTATACAAAACCCCTCTAAAACCAGCCAACAGACCAGGCCGGGAGACCAGCTAAGGCCAACCAAAAGCTAGTTTAAGCTGCACACAAAAAAAAAAAAAAAAAAAGCTGCATGAGAGAGAGCTTCAAATGTGATGTGATGTTTTAAGTTCCATGGGCAAAGGTACTTTTATCATTACTTCAATTGAAAATTACTTCATCATTACATCATTACAAACCCTGGATTGCATGGTATACACAAAAAAATGACCTAGATCAGGGGTGGCGAACGTCGGTCCTGGAGCGCCGCAGCCCTGCAGAGTTTTGCTTCAACCCTAATCAAACACACCTGAACAAGCTAATCAAGGTCTGAAGGGTTACTAGAAAGCTACAGGCAGGTGAGTTTTAATTAGGGTGGGAGCTGAACTGTGCAGGGCTGCGGCTCTCCAGGACCGGAGTTCACCACCGCTGACCTAGAGCATTCAAAAAAATTTATTTGACTCCAATATGTATAAAAGCTGGAATGAAGACAGTCCTCCAGACTGAGGATTGTCAACATCACCTCCCTCAGTAAGTGTTTCTTGTCCCATAGGAGCCAAAATGTGATAATTATTTCACCACTAGAGGGCGATGCATTGTGGTGAGTAGATGTAGGTCACCTGTTCAGCATCACATTATTTTAAACAGCTATTGAACATGGTTCTTAGCTCCACATGCTTTTATTGTAGATATTGTTTGTTCATTAAATGAACCAGTCAAGAAACGGACACCCCTTTGTGGACATTTCTTATTCCATTCTATGAGTCAGCAACAACAGCTTACCACCCTGCCATGGCTTATAGAAAAGCCACTAGGCCTTCATACCCATTACTTATTTATTTGGCTTCTGCAAAAGAAGAAAATCATGTGTAAAAACTGAAAATGAATGAATTTTCTGTTTACAGTGTTTACTTCTGATTTATCATTCGATAGGTTGAACACATCTGAACACAGAACTATATGTTTTAATGTTAATTAGGAGAGGAGTTAATTAGCCCACTTTCAGGTTCTGCGTAAATTAGCAACCATTTAAGTTCAGCACCAAGCACTATTTGATATCAAACGGTGCATCCTGGTTCTGCACTAGATAGTATTCAAAATTAGAATTCGTGTGTCCCAAATCTTAGTATGTTGAAATGAGGATCCCTACCCGGATGGTTTTCTATTTCCGGTGCATGTTCCCCACAAACCTCCACACATGGCAGATGTGTCCTCCTGGCCTCCTGGTGGAATGACCTGCCCAACTCAATCCGAGCAGAAAAACACATCTCTTCCATCTTTATTTGACCCTCTAACTCTAGAACTCTCTATTCTAATTCTATTCTTTAAAAAAAAAAGTCCCTTTTAGACTTGCACTCTATTCATTTACCAACTGCTTGTTTTCTTGAGGGAAAAAAAGCTAACACTAGCTTCTCTAATCTTTTTATATTCTGTCTGTTTGTTTTCTTTTTATTTATTATACAAAACCCCTCTAAAACCAGCCAACAGACCAGGCCGGGAGACCAGCTAAGACCAACCAAAAGCTAGTTTAAGCTGCACAAAAAAAAAAAAAAGCAGCTGCATGAGAGAGAGCTTCAAATGTGATGTGATGTTTTAAGTTCCATGGGCAAAGGTACTTTTATCATTACTTCAATTGAAAATTACTTAATCATTACATCATTACAAACCCTGGATTGCATGGTATACACAAAAAAATGACCTAGATCAGGGGTGGCGAACGTCGGTCCTGGAGAGCTGCAGCCCTGCAGAGTTTTGCTTCAACCCTAATCAAACACACCTGAACAAGCTAATCAAGGTCTGAAGGGTTACTAGGAAGCTACAGGCAGGTGAGCTTTAATTAGGGTTGGAGCTGAACTGTGCAGGGCTGCGGCTCTCCAGGACCGGAGTTCACCACCGCTGACCTAGAGCATTCAAAAAAATGTATTTTACTCCAATATGTATAAAAGCTGGAATGAAGACAGTCCTCCAGACTGAGGATTGTCAACATCACCTCCCTCTGTAAGTGTTTCTTGTCCCATAGGAGCCAACAAATCGCTGCACAATTATTTAATCCCGAATTCCACAGACTCAAATTGAAAGGCATTTGTTTGTGGTTAGTAAGATGCATGTATAAAATATATGCAGTACAGTGATAATTGTGCGTGCATCTATGAATCATTTTGAGTCTAATATCATCCCATAAATGAGGGGCTGTTGTGATGCAGGTTTATATTATTTTAAATTGTGTCTATGTTGTTTGTGGTTTGTGTATCTGAATTCGCAGCAAATGCAACAAACTTAACCCGTTTAATCCCAAATTAATTCCCAGACACGAAAATATCTAAATGACGTGTCATTAGTAACCCTTTGAAATAATCAATAATAATTTTTTTTTTGGAAAGTGTGTGAAAAATGGTGTTTTATGGTCGGTCACAATTGTGACCGGTGGGATAATGTGTATACTGAATTATCATATTTCTGCAGTCATAAAAATAGTTATATATCTTAGCCGCCCAGCTATTTTAAACTGTTTGATCACATTCTAGGGTTAATATTATGCATAAAAAATCCCTTATAAAACGGAGAGTTCCGGTCCTTGATTCTGATTGGTTGAGCCGCATTCGAAGCTGTTGTAAATTACACTACAAACACACACCTTTGTTTACTTTGTGTGTTGCTCGGCAGCCACTTTGTTGGAGCCACAACCGTTTCTGAGGAACTACATTGTTTTGCTGAAGAATACTGTTTTTATTAATATCATTACACTTTTTTTGTTCTGTTTTATTTTGTGAAACCTTACTACGTATATGCAATAAACGTTTTATAAAAGCAATAAGCCCCGTGAAGCCGTGGTTTACAGTGATTTTATAACAGCTAAGGGGTGTTGTTATCCCCTGTGTACACGTTAATAATGAATTGCACTGGACCTTGTTTGTTGGTAGTTGTGTGTGTGTGGGGGGGATGTGAAATGCTGTAAACTGAGAAAATTAAGTTCCACATATGCACGGATTCCTTTTTGCATGAGCAATTTATGATATATTAATGCAGAACAGAACATTTTTATTCACAAACATGTCTGTATTTGTACAAATCGCTGCACAATTATTTAATCCCGAATTCCACAGACTCAAATTGAAAGGCATTTGTTTGTGGTTAGTAAGATGCATGTATAAAATATATGCAGTACAGTGATAATTGTGCGTGCATCTATGAATCATTTTGAGTCTAATATCATCCCATAAATGAGGGGCTGTTGTGATGCAGGTTTATATTATTTTAAATTGTGTCTATGTTGTTTGTGGTTTGTGTATTTTTTTTTAAATTTTATTGGTGACTGTTTGTTTTACGTATTTGATTGTGATATTGTGAAGCACAACTAGTGTTGTATTAAACTGTGCTATATAAATTAATAAGAACAAGAACAAATCTGAGAAGGTCTGCAAGAGAGAGAAGTTCTCCAGCACCTGAATGTTTATAATAAAATCGGCTAAACAGCCATCTATACCAACAGAAAAGTTGTATTATGACGAAATTATCAGCATATTCAATTCAAAACCCAGACAACAACTATAACCTGTTTAGAACAGAAATCACTCATTCAAGGTAAGATTATCTTATCTATTATTATTATTATTATTATTATATTATATATTGTATTCATCATAATTTCAAGATCATAGGCCACAATAGAAGAGCGAGCACAAGTGAGACTGAGAATTATTATTTCTCTTTTCTGTCACACAGACTCTGTGAGCCTGTCCCAATACCCACATTTGCGGTCTTAGCCACTTGAGAGCGTGCACATGTGGCAGGAAGTGCATGCACATGACTGTCCCAGCTCTTAAAAATGCCAAAGTTCAGTTCTCTAAATGCACACAAAATCCACACCATGTCTAACAGCGCTTTGGAACATTATTTGAGGCTAAGTCTGTCCAATTATTCATCATGTTCAAGAAATCACTAATGCAATCATGTGCCCGAAAATGCTTGTGTAAAAGTAAAGTGTTGCACACTTTATTGGTACAGAGATGAGTGTGTATTTTGCAAAACGTTTGCAATTGCTTTTTATCAGTTCATTAGAAGAACCACAATTAAATTGTGTCATACAAAGGGACATTCAAGTCAGAGCTGGAAGAAACTAAATAATAGAAAAGAAGGCAAGGCATGTTCAATCTGTGGAGTGAAGAAAGGATGAGAGGAGTAAAATGTAGACCAAGGCATACCTACACTGTAAAAAAAAAATCCGTAAACTTTACAGTAAAAAAAATGGCAGCTGTGGTTGCCGGAATTTTACCATAAAAAGTACGGTAGCAACGTTTTAGGTTTTAACTTAAATTTACAGTTAAATACCGTAATTTCATTAACTGATAAAATGTTAATATACCAACCTATTGAAATACTGAAATCTGTTTTGTACCTTTGTAATACACTGATAACCATCACCAGGTGGTGATGAGAGTCACATGAGGAACCAAAGCCCATCACAAGCAGCTTTTAAATAATAACATATCTAGAAGGTGCACAGCGTCATTCACACAGACACTAAACACCATCATGCTAACACACATGAAACTGAAATAATGCAATAAACATTCATTTAACAACATTAGGTGTAACACACAACCCTAATATACAAAACTGATAAGAAAAAACTAAGAAGAAACATAGTTATTTCAACAAAAAACATCAAATTTGAAATGTAACGCAGGGAATTCTGGGAATGTCAATTTATGGTTATTCACTGTAAATTATACAGTATATTTCACTTCCAAAAACAGTATACTACCATAAAATTTATGTCCAATACATGTAATGTCCAGTACAGTTTTTCCCCGTATATAATAGGGGAATTTACCGTTAACCATTTAACAGGTTTTTACTGTAGCATTTTTACAGTCTTTTACCGTTAAATTCACGGTCATTTTTTACAGTGTAAAGAAATTTGTCTGACGTACACGATCTCAGAATGTTTATTGGTATATACCTTCCAAATAACACATCATATGAACGGTAATCAAATTGAAATATTAAAGCTGGACCTTAAAGATAACTAAAATAATAAAGAAAAGAAAATTTAGGTATCTAAATTACACATTTCACAAAAAGTGTCCCACTTTGCATTCACCCCATTGAAAAGTTCTACACAATTGTGGTCTTAAAGCCAACTTGTGAATATTTGGGTCAAATACAGGAAATACGTCATTTACTGTAGGTAGACAAGTGCTCAAATGCCGAGACCACAGGTGTGGTTATTACTTCCTTCTTGGCAAAAGTAAAAAAGGATCAGTGATCAATGAAGAGCAACGATAAAAACGTTAAGGATTTTTGAGAAGGCTCTAAACAGACAACAGATCTTTGTGATTGCCGTGGTTATTTTTCTTTTCTAAAGTTTCAATTGCTGGAGCTCAAACAGTGAGAATGGATTCACTAACTGTAGAAGAACTGTCTTGTCCTGTATGTCATGAAATCTTCAAGGCTCCTGTTCTATTATCATGTAGTCACAATGTCTGTAAAGAGTGTCTGCAACAGTTGTGGAGAACCAAGGAAGCTCGGGAGTGTCCTGTCTGCAGGAGAACATCCTCAAAGAATCCTTCCTGTAATCTTGTATTAAAAAACTTGTGCAAGTCATTCCTGAAGGAGAGAAATGAGAGGCGTTCAGCAGGGTCTGAGGAGATCTGCAGTTTACATGGTAAGAAACTCAAGCTCGTCTGTCTGGAGGACAAACAGCCTGTGTGTTCAGTGTGCAGAGATACACAGCAATATGCCAATCAAACGTTCAGACCCATCAGTGAAGTTGTTCCATCATATAAGGTAAGACAGGTTTACATATGAGGATAAGCTTATGTATTAGTGATCATGTTACAGAAACCTTGAGTGTCTTATAGATTTTCACTTTAAATTCTAGGAGGAGCTCAATACAGCACTGAACTCCTTACAAGAGAAACTTAAACATGGAGAAAACCGTAAAAGAGAGTTCGAGAAAACATTGCAACATATCAAGGTGAGGATTGAGTCTTCTGAGATCTTCTCTATTCTAATTTGTTATTTATTTATTTTTTAATTCGTTTTTATATTTAAAAAAACACTTGCACTCTATTCGTTTTCTAACTGCTTGTTTTCTTTAACAACAAAAAAGCCGCACTTTTAGACTAGCTTTCTCTTTTCTTCTTTTTCTATTCTATCTACTTGTTTTGTTTTTATTGTATGTATATTTATATGTATATATATTGTGTGTGTGTATAAAACCTTGCTACATAGCACGTGCTTTTTATTGCTCTTTTGTTGGTTTTGATTGCTTCTATTGTCCTCATTTTTAAATCGCTTTGGATAAATTACTAAATGTAAATGTAACAGTCACACACACATGTTGGTTTTCAATGTCTTATAGGAACTTTCCACAGACAAACTGGGGGAAGGGGGAAGTCGTGGCCTAATGGTTAGAGAGTCGGACTCGTAACCCAAAGGTTGCAAGTTCGAGTCTCGTACCGGCAGGGATTGTAGGTGAGGGGAGTGAATGTACAGTGCTCTCTCCCACCTTCAATACCACGACTGAGGTGCCCTTGAGCAAGGCACCAAACCCCCAATTGCTCCCCAGGCGATGCAGCAAAGAAATGGCTGCCCACTGCGCCGTGTGTGTTCACGGTGTGTGCGTGTTCACTGCTTTGTGTGTGCACTTTGGATGGGTTAAATGCTAATTCCAAGTATGGGTCACCATACTTGGCCACGTCACGTCACTTCACTGTATATTCTGCCCCCAAACCATAAACACAACCCTCACAGAAAACTGTCTGCATCTTTACAATTTGTAAATTTATAATAAGCATCCATTCTTTTGCATCTATAATATTTTGAAAGTTGCTTGTCTCCTCACATTCAGTTATGGATTACATGAATGATAAATTATTGTATTTTTTTTATTCAAAATGGCTAAATGTGATCAAGTTGAGTAGTTTGCATCACTGCATTGAATTGATAACCCTGGGTAAAATATGAGCAATGTGAAACATCGAAAAACAAGAAAACCCAGAATTTAGTTGACCAAGTTCAAGTATAAAAAGCTCTAGACGTTTCACAGAAACACTGATTGGCCAATAATGTCTCAAGTACCATAGGTCCATAATTCTCAAAGGTCTGTTTAATATGGAAAATATGCATTTTCATTCAGACATGGCTGCCACATTTTCAAAAGTTTGTTTTAAAACTGTCATTTTGTGAAGAGAAACTGATGAGAATCATGTGTATTATCACCCTACAGACACAGACCGTCTATTACAGTACTACTTCAGAAAGTTAAAGTTGTAGTTAACTAACCCACCTTTAGCAACTCACTCTTCATGCTGCTCCAGAATAAGTTTCATCTTTGAGATGAATTGAATGTGATTTGATTTCAGTCTCAAGCTGAATACACAGAGCATCAGATTAAAGAGCAGTTTAAGAAGCTTCATCAGTTTCTCAGGGATGAAGAAGCATCTACAATCATTGCACTGAGGGAAGAAGAGGACCAGAAGAAGCAGAAAATGAAGGAAAAGCTGGATGACATGAACAGACACATCTCAGCTCTTTCACACATGATCAAAGACTTGGAGGAGACAATGAAATCCAATGACGTCTGCTTTCTAAAGGTCTGATTTCAGATAATTTGTTGATTGATTCAATGATGATTGATGGACTTGTTGATGATAAATTGTGTTTTTTCAGCAGAAGTTTCCACTAACAATGGAAAGGTGAGTGATCTGCTGGTGTCTCTGTTCTCTCTGCTTCTGAAGCCAAAGCCACTGCAGTTCTGACTCCTGAATGTTCTTCCAGAGTCCAGATCTCACAGCCGGATCCACAGATGCCTTCTGGAGTTTTGATTCATGTGTCACGTTACTTGGGCAACCTGCCGTGCAGAGTCTGGAAGAAGATGCTGAACTCTGTCCAAAAGAGTAAGTCTGGAGGCAATCTGTGCTGTTACACACACACTGGAAATGATGCATTGGAGGAGACTGACAGATTTTAGCATTGATTTTAGCACAGTGATCAGAGGAAAATGTCTCATTTTGAGTGACATAATTCATAATAATCTGTGTACAGTTCACTTTTTATCATCATACGAGCATCAGAATAAAAGCACTTGCTGATTTTGTCTCATCAGCTCCTGTGATTCTGGATCCAAACACGGCTCATCCACGTCTCATCCTGTCTAATGATCTGACTCGTGTGAAATACATTTGGGACGATCAACCGTTTCCTGATAATCAAGAGAGATTTGACATCTGTGAGTGTGTTCTTGGTTCAAATGGTTTTAATTCAGGAATGCACTTCTGGGAAGTGGAGGTTAAAGAGAGCGAATGCTGGAGTCTTGGAGTAACTACAGAATCAAACCAAAGGAAGGGACGTGGTTTCTGTAACTCTAATGCCTGGTGTGTGAAGTACGATCCGTACAGACTGCTTGGGTCTGGTTTTCCTGTTGAAGAGCACCTTGTGTGTGTGAGAGTTGATTTGGACTATGACGGAGGAACGGTGTCATTCTCTGATCCTGTAACTAACACACATCTACACACATTCACAACCACCTTCACTGACGTCATCTTTCCATTTTTCTGTAATCTTGATGAAGTTAAGCGTCTGAGGATTTTACCATTTTAAACTGTAAAAACATAAAATCACTGAAGCATCATCCGATCCTGCCAATGAATAAATTCAAATGTATATACTTTTACTAAAGTCTGAATTTTGTAAAATTTTACATTTCTACATATTCTACAAAATTTCCCATTGTACAATTTAGATTCACTGTTGTCATAAGTACATGAGCAAGTTATGTTGCCCTTTTTACACCCTCTCACTGAGTGAAGACACTTCAATGTCTGGAGGCAATCTGTGCTGTTACACACACACTGGAAATGATGCATTGGAGGAGACTGACAGATTTTAGCATTGATTTTAGCACAGTGATCAGAGGAAAATGTCTCATTTTGAGTGACATAATTCATAATAATCTGTGTACAGTTCACTTTTTATCATCATACGAGCATCAGAATAAAAGCACTTGCTGATTTTGTCTCATCAGCTCCTGTGATTCTGGATCCAAACACGGCTCATCCACGTCTCATCCTGTCTAATGATCTGACTCGTGTGAAATACATTTGGGACGATCAACCGTTTCCTGATAATCAAGAGAGATTTGACATCTGTGAGTGTGTTCTTGGTTCAAATGGTTTTAATTCAGGAATGCACTTCTGGGAAGTGGAGGTTAAAGAGAGCGAATGCTGGAGTCTTGGAGTAACTACAGAATCAAACCAAAGGAAGGGACGTGGTTTCTGTAACTCTAATGCCTGGTGTGTGAAGTACGATCCGTACAGACTGCTTGGGCCTGGTTTTCCTGTTGAAGAGCACCTTGTGTGTGTGAGAGTTGATTTGGACTATGACAGAGGAACGGTGTCATTCTCTGATCCTGTAACTAACACACATCTACACACATTCACAACCACCTTCACTGACGTCATCTTTCCATTTTTCTGTAATCTTGATGAAGTTAAGCGTCTGAGGATTTTACCATTTTAAACTGTAAAAACATAAAATCACTGAAGCATCATCCGATCCTGCCAATGAATAAATTCAAATGTATATACTTTTACTAAAGTCTGAATTTTGTAAAATTTTACATTTCTACATATTCTACAAAATTTCCCATTGTACAATTTAGATTCACTGTTGTCATAAGTACATGAGCAAGTTATGTTGCCCTTTTTACACCCTCTCACTGAGTGAAGACACTTCAATTTCTTGAACAATCCAATTTCTTAACCAAGCTCTTTCTTCCTTTTCTTTATTATTACGTTGTCTATAAATCAAAATTATTCTGATTTGCTCTATCAGCATCAGATAATTTGTTATGTTGGTCTGTCTGTCGGATCTTCAGTCTTTTTAGTTCTGACTCAAGATGAAGTCCTTATATATATCTTACATGAGTGACTGGTGTCGGTTCAGGTCCTTGTCTTGTTTATCATGCTTTATGAGTTCAATTCACATTGGGACCATCTTCAGAATTTTTGATATCTGATTAATGGAGTGAAAATGACTTTGGGTTTGGGCTAAACACAATGTATGACTGAGACCACATGATGTTATATCATTTTGCCACAATCAGCATCAGCATCAGCATCTCTGTCTAGTTAGTTTTGTTATCCCCTGTGTACTTAAGCTCTTGTGTTTGCTGTGATCATTGCCAGGTCTTTTCCTTTCTTGGTTGAGTCGTTGAGGATTATTCAGTTCTGTTCCCATGGTTTTCTGATTCTCGTGTTTTGTTTATCTTCTTTTTTTACTTTATTAAATTGATCTGCATTTGAGTCTTCTTTTCACTGTCTCTGAGTTCCTCCAAGTAAGAGACATTACAGTGTCTTTTGTTCTTTAAGTTTATTGTATCTTTCCCACAATATTTCTACATACAATGACACTTTGCATGAACATTTGATAAACAATCAAGAATTAGGAATACATCGGTTTTATGCAAAAAAAAATTATAAAATATATATATATATATATATATATATATATATATATACGCGCGCACACACACACACACACACACACACACATTTGTAATACCTGTGTTAACACATGTAGCGTAAATCTTTTGTTTATTAGGTTAAATAGAGAATATAAAGTATTAGTGCCATCTAGTGCATATATTGTGTGAATTACAAATATATAATATTCACCCAATATGTTTACCCTTGTCTGGTTGGTTTTGTGCCTTAGTCTTGCCCTAATCTTGTTGAGCCCCTAGTAGTTTTACGTTCTTGTCCTGCTTTTTCTTTTTCTTTTTTTTTGCTTTTATTTTAGTATTCATCTAGTTCTCCTAGTTCTGATCTTTTGTTTGCATTTTTGTTTGATATTTTTAAGTTATTTGTGTTGGTTAAATTAGTAATTATTTCCCTTACCTTGGACTAATTTATTCCTGTGGAGCCTTGTCCTGTCTTGTCTTGTTGTGGTGTTAGAGTTCCTGTCCTGACCTGTTCCTGCCAACTGGTTCCCCCTGCCTGGCACCTGGTCTGCTTCATAGTCTGCGGTCAACAAGTATCTGAGCTCAGCTCTATGGTGCCTTGTTCGGTCCTTTCCATCTGCCTGGTCTTGCCGCTTCCTCTGCAGCTATTCTGCCAGTTGATGTCTGAGGCTGTTCCAGTGGTCTTCCCTTGCTGTCTCATCGCTGTTAACTGTGTTCCTGTTGTTGTATCACCTGCGCACCTCACTATCCTCTTGTAACTGTCTGTTTTGTAAATAAACCCTTGTCACTCACTCTGCAATTGGGTCCTCCTTCCAGATCCCTGATACCCTGTACCTGGTCAAAAACAGCTCAGAGACCAGGGTGGCTGAGATGGGATGCCCTGGGACTGATATGGCCTTGGGTGCTGGCTCAGGTTGATGCCATTTCAGGAACTTCTGAGGTGACAATCTTTGGGGTGCCTGTGGCAGGAATCATAGCCATGACAGGAAGTGCTGGCACCAAGGAGGCAAAAACAGAGAGGACAGGAATAATTACAGAATATTTACAGAAGCTTTTTTTAGGAATCTCTGGGACTGAGCTCACATTCCAAGGAGCTTGGAGATGGGGGAGCCCATGACAGCACCATCTGTGGCAGGTGTAATAGTATCCTTTGACACTTCTGGGACAAGTAAGCTGTGACAGAAACCTCTGGTCATGGACGGAGATGCCTGGGAGCTTGGAGACCAGTGTGGCTGAGATAGTCATCAGTACTAGCTTTTGCTAGGTGGCAATAACAGGAATTTTTGTGATTCCGGTCGCATGAATCCCTGTGGCAGCCATGACCGGGAGCACTATTACTGAGGATGCAAGACAGACAGGTCTGGGCAGCTTCTTTAGCGGCTGTGGTTAGCATTGAGGTGGCCGAGAAAGGGAGATCTATCATTGGGGAGGCACCCCTGCGAACAAGCCTGCATTGGCCCTTTATGGGACCACTTAGAGCTAGCCTTAGGGCCCCCAGCGGGCTGCCAGCGCAGGGTCCTGAGAATTTGCTTATTGGCAAAACGTTGGCCCCTTAGCACTGGCCCTGCATGGGCAGCCCTCACTTAGCCCCCAGGAAGCCCTCACTATGCCCACACAGGGCCCGCACTATTAATCTACAACAATACATATGTTTCACTTTAAATACTTTCCAGCTACTATAACTTAAGTCTTTGGGGAAAGCAGTTAGTATACATCTGAAATGAATGCAGTCACCACATAACTAATGTCTGTATTGTCAAAAATGTACAGTAGTCAAAGGGATTTCAAATCAATTTATTAAATACAAAACAGAAAACATCCAGTTCAGGTTAATACAGCTACATATAGCCAAAAATGTAAATACAAAAAAAAAAGAAAGCAAACAAAGCAAGGTAAGACTGTAGGATTTTGTCATGTGAAAGTTGTTGTGTGTGAAAGTCTTATCTGTAGTACATCAATGTTCAAACACTGTCCGTAGCTGAAGTTGGCTGATAGCAAATTAATAATCCAACCTCTTGTAATGAAAACACGCCACAGCTCTCAAACACCAGACTTTTCCTGACCATTGGCAAAACGTTGGCCCCTTAGCACTGGCCCTTCACAGGCAGCCCTCACTTTGCCCTCAGGAAGCCCTCTATATTCCCACACAGGGCCCGTGCTATTAATCTACAAAAATACATAGGTTTCACTTTAAATACTTTCCAGCTACTATAACTTAAGTTTTTGAGAAAAACTGTTATTATACATCTGAAATGGATGCAGTCACCACATAACTAATGTCTGTATTGTCAAAAATGTACAGTAGTCAAAGGGATTTCAAATCAATTTATTAAATACAAAACAGAAAACATCCAGTTCAGGTTAATACAGCTACATATAGCCAAAAATGTAAATACAAAAAAAAAAGAAAGCAAACAAAGCAATGTAAGACTGTAGGATTTTGTCATGTGAAAGTTGTTGTGTGTGAAAGTCTTATCTGTAGTACATCAATGTTCAAACACTGTCCGTAGCTGAAGTTGGCTGATAGCAAATTAATAATCCAACCTCTTGTAATGAAAACACGCCACAGCTCTCAAACACCAGACTTTTCCTGACCAGGAACAGTCAAAAATAGTCCAGACTATGGTCCCACGTCGAAAAGAAGTTTAGATCCATATTCAAACTGGACCATGATGTGGTAACCTCACCAATAAAGAGTCCTTCTAAAATGCATACAAATACACTTATTTCTTAAAGTCTTAAACTCTTAGCATCAATCCAAACATAGGCCGTACATACATGTAACATCTCTGCAAAAAACATCAGCAATATACACTTAAAAAAAAATCAACTCCTTACTTTAGACTGGGCTTGAAATGACACATTTCCCAACCAGGACACAGCACAATGTGCTCAGCAGGTGAGCCATGCTGGCTACTGCTGCTTGTTATTGTTAACTCCATTCTACCCACATGGCTTTACTTAAGGAAACCTAAAACACCCTAGCACCCCTAGTGGTAAGGAAGAAAACTGCCCATAAAATTATTATTAATAGGCTCGTGTCTGTTACACCTCAAATATGGCTTGTGAGATCCACTTTCCTGCAGAGTTTAGCTCCAACTTTGATCAAACTCACCCAACTGTGATTTTCTAATGATCCTGAAGACATTGATTAGAATGCTCAGGTGTTTGATTAAGGTTAGAACTAAACTCTGCAGGAAAGTGGATCTCGTGAGCCAGATTTGAGGATCCCTGGCCTACATAAATCAACAGATTCTTAAAAGGTCTCTTTTGGTTTGTGCCATTCCACTTCAATTGAGTGACTAAAGAATGGCCAGTCAATGTTGTTTGTATTCTCCTAGTTGCATTACAGGGCTGCCTACACAAAACCTGCATGGGCCCAAAGGATACAAAAGTTGCTCTGTGCCCGAACGGGCTGGCCCACACTGGGCCATAATAGGATAAATGTGGGCAGTCTGCTAGTGTGGGCTGCTCACAGAGAGCATGCGGTGAGCCCAAAGCTGTGGGCCTCGCCTGGGCAAGCCCGCACTGGGCCTGTTTAGGTTTGGTGTGGGCTGGCCCTAGCCCACTGTGCCCGCAAAAAGCCAGCATGGGCCCCGCAGGGACATGTTTGCAGGGACAGATTGAGGCAGAAAGCTCTGGCATTCAGAAGACTGTGGCAGGAACCTCAAGAAGGATTCAAACAGCTAGATTACTACTCATGCGCCTAGACCAAGCAGGTTGTTGCATCCTCTGTGATTCCCTAAATTTCTGTCTGGAGACTGGGAAATGTTTGTGACAGGCTGGTTAAACAGTTTCTCTCATTGTGATAGAGCACTCAGCCCTATCCAACACCTCTTGAGAGTCTGAATGAAAGACATGACCAGGCACCACTGGCAAATTCATTAGTTCACCTCATATGGCATCTGGCAAAGCAGTTTGTGACCGCCATATTTGTCTACAATATAAAATAGCCGAAGACATCGCCTCTCCCACATCATGTGTCAATTGACAGTGAGCAGCCAAAGCCAAATCAACAAGGTTCTTAGAATCTTAGTCATCTGTGCTTATTGTTTTCTATAAAGCTGCTAGTACAGGGCTGTCCAAGCTCGGTCCTGGAGGGCCGGTGTCCTGCAGAGTTT